GGGCATAATACATAATGTAAAAACAGAATACAAGGCGATCAACAATGGTTACCATAATGTCTCTTGCTATCTTAAAAAGGATTGCCTATATCATCAGTTATAATAAAATTGAACAAAACAATAAAGAACAAAACAAAAAAACGCAAACATTTGAGACATTACAAGACTTCAAAAGAAAATAATACTCAAACCAGAATGGGCATTATAGTGAATCTTATTGTCTTCACAGTTGTTTCCTATACTCTCAAACTTGGTACTATCAAGCAAAACAGAATAGAGGAAAATCAATCAAAACAAGATCGTGAGAGCAATACAGGGTTTCAAATCAAGTTAACAGGAAATCAAAGTGGGTTACTATAATATATCCTGCTATCTATTCATTTTTCCCTTAATTAAAAGGATACAAATAAAAAAGTAAATAATAAAAAAGGAGATTGAGGTAAGAGAGGACATAACAACAAAAGAGCACAGGTCAGAACATAACCATTTAAGCAAAATAGTGTTTCATCACAAGATATCCCGGCATAAAAGTAGTTGCTATAGTGTCTCTTTCCTTGAAACCTTTGAGTATAACTTCGTATACTGTAGCATCAAACATGTCAAGACAATGTAAAACTGTTCAAGAGAATGACAGTATTACAGGGTATTTAGAACCAACTAACAGAAAATGAACAATGGTTTCTGCATAATCTCCTTGTCTATAAAAGTTTTTGTTTATATTAACACATATAATAAAATCCAATAAGATACAACATATTAAGACCGATGGAACCAGAAGAACAAAAGCTTGATGGGACTTCAAAACAAGATATTAAATCAGCATTAGCTATTATGATGTCTTGTTTTCTCCAAAATAGCTGTTCATACCATCCAACCTTCTCTGCCTCATTGCTGTTGAGCTCTTTTTCTATCATTAGTTGTCTGTTTGTCTTCTTCATTTCACTTTTTGCTCCATTCATTGTGGCCTCTCTGCCACTATTTCTGGAATCTTGGTATTTTTCTTTTTTAGAATGTCCTGCAGTATTCTCTGTAGAGTTGAATTGGTGATTACAAATTCCCTTAGTTCCTCTTTCTTCTGGAAGCACCTTGTTTCTCCATTAATTTCTAGGTACAGTTGTGCAGGATATATCAATCTTGGCTGGAGGTTATTATCTTTCATAGCTTGAATTAGTTCCCCCCATGCTCTTTATGATTTTATGGTTTATGCTGAGAAGCCTTCTTTAATTTTGATGGTGTTCCCTTGAAAGTGATCTGTTTCTTGTCTCTGACAGCTTTTAATGTTCTGTTCTTATAGTGGATTTTTAGTATTTTGATTATTATTTGCCTGGATGTAGTTCTGTTTGGGATGTAGGTGGCTGGAGTCCTGTATGCCTCATAGATCTGAGTATCTACCTTTTGCTAAATTAGGGAAATTCTCCAGATTATTTCTGTGAATAGCCTTTGTAGTTCATTTGTTTGTGTCCCTACTTCTTCCTTTACGTTCTTAATTCTTAAGTTATAGCTCCTCTATCATCTTCTAGCCTTTGTATTATTGCTGTTTTTTTCTTGTTATTTTTAAGAAGTTTTTCATTTCATGCTCCCACATTACAAAACAGTCCTCCAGTTCAGATGATCTATCCTTAGTTTCTTTCAAGCTGTTATGCCAGCATTCAACAGCATTTTTAGTTTCCTGGTAATCCCTTTGAACCTACTTCCGATATTCTATGTTTTCTCTATTTTCTCCATCAAACAATTCTCCCCTTTTTTTCTGTTCTTCCATTCCACCATCTTTTTATCCTTGTTTGGTGCTTAGCATTTCTCTAACCATTCTACTTATATCTTTCTTTACTTTGTTAAATACTTCACTTTTGAACTCATCTATGAAGCTCTGGAGATATCACTTTGTGTCTATTGGTGCCATGCCTGATATTGCATGTTTTCTGTTCTCATTCTCCTTTGCATTTACCTTTCCTGAATCAGTGTTCTCAGGATTGGGAACCGAGGACACTTTGTTGTTTCCTCCTCTTCTCATATTTTTTGTTTCTTCCATACAGGCATATAGGAGGCCCAGTTTCTTTCTTTGTGGGTTACGATTTGTTTGAATCCGCTGGCTAGGTGTCCCCATCCACTGCAGTGTACTAGGGAGACACAGACAGGGCAGTGTATGTTGGGCGCACCCCTCCAGGTCAACTTACTGAAGGCTTTTTTTTTTTTTGTCTTTTTCCTTTTTATTGGTACCGGGGATCGAATCATGACCGCCTGCTTGCAAGGCAGGTGCTTATGCCACTGAGCTAAACCCCCACTGCTAGGGTACACCACCAGGTGCAAGGACCTGGTTTGAGCTAGCCTACTGGGTCTTAGTCTGTGGCTCCACCCAGATCATGTGCTCACCACCAATCCCGCTTGAGAGGGGAATATGCAACTAAAGTCACTGCAAAGTCCTGTTCCAGCTAGTTTGCCTGGTCCCAGAATGTTCTCTGTTGGAGCCTCCTAGTCTATGGAAGGGTCCCCATTCCTCTCACTCACCGCAGGTCAAATCAGAACTCCCCACCATTTCTGCTCTCAATTCGGTTCGCTGATTCCCACTCTCAAATCTTTTGCATCTCTATCCTGCTGTTTTGATTCAGATGCAGCAGCGGAGGCAGAAAATTCAAATCACGGTTTCCAGAGGCACGGGTTCCAGCTTCAGCGCTGAGATTTTATCTGTTCTGGTCATAACATTGGGATTGCATTTCCATTTGGTTTCTCTCAGTTTAGTTTATTCCTCGGTCGGCAGGGTATATCTCCCCTTGCTTAGGACTCCTCACACTGCACCATTCCTATATTCTAAGCTGGCTATCTCAGAAAGCCTCTGTAGCTGCTGTTATCTGTCCTCCATGTTTTCCCAGAAGTCTTCAACTGAGTTGTTTTTGCAAGTTGTTGTTTCAGTTTCTGCTATGTAAACTTCTGTGCACCAGGGACTCATAGCCTCTTTTGTTGGAGGCTCACACCCACTTGACATTCCTGGAGCTGACTGGCTCTGCAATCCTGCTGTGTTTATATATTTTCTAGAGAACACTATGTGAGGAAACAGCAGACTGTCTGATGGCTTTAGAGATTACATACCAGTACCTCAGCTAGCCTTATTTACCATACTTAGTCAAATGAAGAGAAAAAGAAGTACCATAGTCAGCTCTGTACATGTTGATACATGGAAATAAGCCTTGATCTAATCAATGTTGTGGCAATTGTTTTAGTTAAGAACAGTAGTTTAAATAGGCTCCTACAAAACCCCACCCCCATACCTCTTAACTGACAAAGCATTGGCACTAACAGGCAAAGAAAAATCACTTAGAGGCTTCCATCTCCATTTTCACAAAGTAGGAAAAATTGTGTATTTGGAAAGCAGAGATAACAGATGAACAACTGGCAAAAACTCTACTGTCAGTCAACAGCAGAAAATTTAAAGAGCTCTCTTGGTTATGTAAGATAGAGGGCAGAGGAACTGATGTACATCATGTAGGAGAATATCACAAGCAGGGCATTAAGTGAAAGAATCAACACAGAAAGAACACTCTCTGCATGATTTCACTTAATATAAAATTCAAATATCAGCAAGATGAGACTGGGCTGTTAAATGAAGGAGACTGGCTTCTTTTGATAGGTGTGTAAAAGGGTGGCAGTTGACACAGGGAGAAGGATACATAGCAGAGATGTGTATGTCCTGATTTGTGGCTCGTTTCTTTTGTTTGGTCATTTTGTGAAAATCCTTCAGACTGAACACCTACAATTTATGTGCACTTTTACTTAAGCCTACTTGTACACAGTTGTTTTATCATAGACAAAACTCTGCATAAAGTTAGAGGGCATTTGCGCAACCACATATAGTCTACTGGGGTATTATTTATTCTCTCTCAGAAGAGCAAGCATTGTTGGTTGAATGGATAAAGAAAATGAGATTCTGTAGCTGCACCTCAGTGGGAGCTTATGACTCACATAGAGAAAGCTGTGAGTTCCATTCCCATTCCAGGAAATGAAAGTAGAAAAATTTGGTAGGTAGTATAATGAATAATATTCCATCTTTTAATAGAAGGCAAACTGATCAGATGCTATGTTTTGGATAAAGCATAAAGACAATGTGCTAAGTGGAGTGACTTAGTCTTAAAAATACACACACTACATAATCTAATTCGTAGATGGTAGGTAAAAAAGTTTCAGATGCTTAAAGGAGTCAGGGGGCTTTACACTGGGAGGGGAGTTGTTCAAGGAGTTTAGCGCTTCCATTTTGCAAGAAATCTGCCTGGCATAGCAAGATACACTTAGCTAACACTTCTGTGTTGCACACTTAACATTACTATGATGATGTTTTATACTATGTGCTTTTTAATGACAAGCAAATGAACAACTCAGAGAAATGATCCTTCCCTCTTCCTATCAAATCTTCCCTAGGCACTGAAAATTTAGTCCATACAAAACTCCATCTGCTGGACTCAGCCCTACTGCACCCTATGGGCCTCTAGCTAGAGCAAGGTTCAGGCAATCACTCCAAAATCCTCTGGAAATGTTTCACATATTTCTGGTTCCTAGGACCAGGAGGCCGATGAGGACCTCCCAATCCCTTTCAAGAAATGGTTCCAAGGGGATGTTTAGGGACACTTGCTTTGTTTCAAGAGAAAGCAATGATCAGAACTATTTTGAAAAACACACTTCACAAACACCAGTAATGTGCTTGCCAGGACGTGAACTAAGGAGTAGGGTATGAGATCTACTTTGCTCACCCTAAACAGATTCCACCTAGGATGAGTCAGAACCTCAGCGTAGGTGACCTCTGCGACCTAGATGAAACCACCTTTTCAGATCCCTGGGAGCTGTAGTACCTTGTGAGCCCATTCCCTTCTGATCTGTGGGAAGGCCCAATCCTGAACTCCTCCTGGGCTTTCCTGGACACTGCATTCCTTGGGGAGCAGGTTTCTTGAGCTCCCTTTGCCTAGTTGACTTCTAAGAGGTCAGATCAGTCCACTACATCAGGCAGGGCCAGAAAGCGTGGGTGGAGCTGGAGCCTTATAATCAGCCAGGTTATCTTCAGTGAGTTCCCAGGCTGGCTTCTCCAGGAGCAGCTCCTTGAGGGCTCAATCATGAGTATCCTGCTACTGGTGCCACTACTGGGCATCTCCATCTTTCTCCTGGGACTCCTTGTCTGGACCATCTTTAAGCATTTGCTCACCACAGATGTCCCCTCTGCCTTGAAACATCCTGTCAAGTTCAGAATTCTGGACTGCTTGTTTATATATGGGATCACCTTGGTGAGTGTTCTCTCGGGTCCCTTCGTGGGTTGGGAGTATTGTCTCTGTAATTCCTCCTGCTCCCTCTTTGTTTCCTTTCCTTCCTTCGGCACATTCCCTCAAGACAGGTAAGGTAGGATTTGACACATTTTTGTTTTGTATCTACTATTCTCTTTCTCCCTCCCTCCTTCTTTCTTTTCTTTATTGTTTCCCTGCTTCCTTCCCTTATTTATTTCATCTATTTTTCTTCTCCCCTCCCTGTTTCCTTTCTTCTTTATATTCTCTCATCTGTTCTTCCCTCCCTCACTCCTTTTCTTCCTTCTATCCTTATTTCTGTTTCTTCCTCTCCTCCCCTTCCATTCTTACTGCCGTTCTCCCTTCCTCCATTTCTTCCTTCTTTCCTTTGTCCCTTCTGTTATTGTTTTTGTTTTTTCCTCTTTTGCTTTTTCTATGCTTCTTTCCTTCCACTTTCCTTCTGCCTACCTTTATGTCCTCTCCTTTATCCTTGCCTACTTTCCTTCTTTCTTTTCCTCCCTTTGTCCTTTTCCTTTTTTTCCTGCTTCGTTTCTTCCTTTCATGGTTCATTCCTTCACAATTTCCTTTCTTCCCTCCTTGCTTTGTTCCTTAACTCTGTCTTTCCTTTCTCCATTTCTTTTACATTTGCTTCTATGCTTCATTCCTCCTTTCTGTCACCCCCTTCTTCCCATGCCCTAGTTTCTCTAATATCACTAACTGCCTCCCTGTCTTCCTTCAGCATGAAACACTTACCAGGAACCAGTCAGCAAGGCTCTTTTCTGAAGATTGAGTGCCAATCAGAGGCAGTTCCTGCACATTAATGGTCTCATGGTGGCTGACACCTTCAGTGTAGCACTTACCTGCCACCAGGTATTTATCTTACATAGGTGTAGTGAGTGCTCTGAAGCCTGGGACTATTATATTCAACTTTAAACCGGTCTCTAAGCACAGAGAAAGGCACCACATAGCTACTATTTATTGATGAACTCAAGTTATTTCAGCTACCATTTCAGGCTGGTCACATCAGCTGGTCTCTTATCAGAATTTGGGGGTGGCAAGACACCAACATTTTCCCCGAATTGCAGAAGGGATTTTCCCCATGTAGAAGGTAGGTAACTTTGGTTCATCTCAGTGTCCCAACCCTGGTGATCCAGAAGCAGCCAAAGAACTCACACTGATTATCTCTGAGGTGGTGAAGAGATATAAGGCAAAAAAGCATCAACTTCAGCCAGAATATATATGTATTCTTGCACTATCACTACCTGTGGGATCTGGGATGTTTGCAAAGACATTTGTGTCTCTTTCATCTGTGAAATGGGGTCAGTTGTATCTGTCTCATCAGATGACATGTGGCAGGGATTATTAGGTTGAGAACTGGCCAAAAAAAATCGGTATCTGGACAATTGATGGAATTTTTCACCATCAGTGTGGATCACTCCAAGTCAGCCTCCAAAGACTGAGAGGTCTTTGGAATTAGTATCTCTGGACCTCAGTGTTGCTCATCCACCCATCCATGCCAGAACTCTGTCACAATGTGTAGCAGCTGTCATCACAGGTGCTTAGCTGGTGAGCTACTATTGAAGAAAAGCACTAAAGTAGGAAAATGCCAAATTTCCTGGTTCTCTTGGATATGTGGAGCCTTTTTCTTTTATTTCTGGGGCCCCAAACAAGCCTGTAATTAGGAAAAAGATAGAGGCCAAATATGAGCTTGGTGGAGGAGATGAGCTAACATAATTATGGTGTACTTTGTACAGGCAATACCTTACCTCATAACTGGATTTCACAAAATATCAAGATTGGCTTGTTTACAATTAGAGTTAGCATGTTAGTTCAAAAAACACAATTGGTAAGTACAGAGGGTAGTTGGAAGACATAGGAAATGTCTAAACTTAAAAATTACTTTATAGTAAAGGATCCATTGTCATTAATACTCCTTAAAATATACTACCTGTCACTTCAAAAACACTAACCCCATCACTCTTGCCACTTTGTGAAGTGTGTCTAGAAGTCCTGTCTCATGAGTGTCTTCATGAATTTGTGATTTAAAAAATATGGTGAGTGCTGGTGCCCAGTGCCCTTCAACAGAAAGCATTATGGGACATTTTTATCCACTTTATTCATCAATGGCAACATGAAACTTCTGACTGTCCCACAATGTCACAGAGACCATGAAAGGCAAATGCTCCAAATGGATTCAGGGTATCAAGGCAGCCACAACAGAAAAACCAAAGACACTCACAAAAGAAGACTTTCACAGATGCTTCAGAAAGAGGCAAGAGTGATGAAGGGAATGTTTTAAGTGAGGGTGAGTATTTTGATGTAGTTTATGACAATGTTTCTGTTCTGGGATAAAATACTCAAAATTTAAGCACATGTTATATATGTATTTCTAATCACACCTTTAATGTACCTTTTGCCAGTACTCCTCCCATCTGTGCTCACATGACATCCCGAAATAATCACATTACTCTTTTCTGCTGAACATAGACAGAGTTTAAGAGTGCTCCAAAACCCAGAGCCGGGGGTAAGCAGTGAAGAGGATTGTTTTTTGTTAATTTTATTTAAAGGGAAAAAAAAACCAGTATAAGGTTACAAGTAATACAGAATTTCAAAAAAAAAAAAAAAAAAGAAAGAAATCAATAAATAATAGATTACATATTGTCATCTTAGAAATAGTTGTTCAGGTTACAAGATTAAAGCATATAAAGTGGACCTTCAAACAGTGAGAATGCAAACAGTTGTGTTCAATGATCCAACAAAAACTTAGTAATATGGTCATCTGTCTTACACACCTAAACACACTTGCAGTTGTATCCTTCAGAGCACTTTCTTTTCCTCTCTTTTTTATAACATTTACATATTTTGGGTTTTATTACCCCATATTTCTTATTATTTTTGGGGGGGAAGAGAATTTCAAATGTGACAAAACAAAGCAGTCAGTCAAAACAAAGGATAGACATACCACATGATATAAAAACAGAATACAAGGTAATCAACAATGGTTACCATAATGTCTCTTGATGCTTTAAAAAGAATTGCCTATAAATTAGGTATCATAAAATTGAACAAAAAGTACAGAACAAGATCAATAAAATCTAAACATTGGAGACATTACAGGACTTCAGAAGAAGATAATATTCAAACCAGAATGGGCGTTATAGTGAATCTTATTGCATTTAAAGTAGTAAGCAGTGAAGAGGATTGAAACAGGTGACAAAACAGCTTTGTCATCACAGACTGAGTCAAGTTGAGGATAAAACCAAACACAGTAAAGATGTAAGTCAGATGCCTTTCTTCAAAGTCAACTGACTTTTTTCAATTCAGTGCCCTCTTCCCATTCTGCCACAAACTGGGCTACGATGTTGGCAAAATCACACTTCCTTCTGTGTTTTATATGTGGCTTTCACAATACTACAGAACAGGTAATTTAAAAACAGGAGAAATTCGTTTGGCTCATGAACTGAGGTGTTTGTTTGGCTCTGAGGTGGGGTAGAGAAGTCTAGGACCATGGCACAAGTTCAATAGAATAATAGAGAAGGATAGAGAAGGTTCTGCAAGATATCTTTGGCCACCCCTTGGCATAAAGGCAAGTTTGCATGTGATTGCAAGATAGAAAACCTGGTTTGTGCTCCACAGAGCTGCATTAAGCCAACTATGCATGCAGGAGACAGGAGAGAAGCATGAGAAGTCTTACCAGTGGTAAGTAGGCAAGAACTGTCTTCAAGATCCTAATCTCTCCTCTACCTCATATTCCTCTTTTTGCCTCCAACAGGGGAGCATACTAGAGAAGCTGAATATTTGCTCTATGCCCACCTTTGCTCGCTTTGTACATGATAGACTGTTCAGAAAGACGAATGACCCTAAAGTGGTAGTGACTGACCTGCACTACGGGACAATCCCTGTGAGGCTGTTCCAGCCGAAGGCAACATCCAGTAACTCCTTTGGAGGCATTGTCTTCTACCACGGAGGAGGAGGGATAATAGGAAGCTTGGGTAAAGAGTTTCCCTAAGGAATGGGAGAGCATGGGCCTTGGAACAAGGTAGTTTCACTACAGATCTCAGGTGAATCAAAGGGAGAGAATCAAGGGAAAAATTAGCTTCTTCAGAGGAGACAAGAGATATAGTATGGTGTTCACTTAATTTGATGGAATTGCTAACTTCAAGCACAGTGTCTTGTAATATGTGATAGTCCTAGTCCCACACACTGGCCTTTGACTCCTCTGTCTCTTCCCATTCACAATCATGGCCAGTCTTGATTTGTGCTACAGTGATCTTAAATCTCAGCTCTTCAGAACCATGGAGATGCAAACTCAACTTCCCTTGCCCATGCCCTGCACCTCCAGAAAACCCCTTTTACCTAACCCTCTCCACTTGAAATTCACCAAATTCCAAAAGATGTGCCCAAGGTTGGAGATGTAAACTCTGTGACAGAATATTTTCCTAGCATGAGTGTAATCCCATGAGTGAGGCTCACCATCTCCCCTGAAGATGTTAACTAGGAAAATATCCCATCCATGGGACCTACTCTTGTAAACAGTTATCAGTCTCACTAGATCCAAGGCACAGTTCCCTGGTGCCATCCTGTGTTGAGGGAAAAAGTCGTTTCCAAAGGTAAAATCAAGATGGGTCAGTAAATATTTACTGAACATGTACTGAGGGATGAACCCTTTCCATGCACAGTAGATACTGAGGAGAAAGACCCAACTCTCATCCTTATGTACCTGTCAGTCAATGAGGAAGCTAGACAATGCAGGAGAATTCACATAAATGGGTAGTTTCACTCGCTGATATATCTGGCTTCTAGGACAGTGACCCATAGGCATTGTATTTGAGTCCCTCTAATCAGACTAAGCCTCTTCTAGAAGGTAGCATTTTACCCCTAGCCTAACAGTTGAAATCCGGACTACAGTGAGGAGGAAGAGGATTACTCTGAGTCAGGTGGAGGCCTGGGGCAGGCCAGGAGGGCAAGTACCTCAGTCTTCAAAATGTGGGGCACCAAAATTCTCAGTCACTAGAATTAATACTACACTGTAAGGAAATATTCAAAGAAAAATATTAATGCAGAAGACTAGTTGAACATAATGTCAAAAGAATAGTAAGGCAGGGCTGTATGCCTTTTATGAATGCAAAGCAGAAGCCTGTTTAAAACTTAAATTATTTTGCTCATTGTTGTATCTTTTGGCATTGTTTTTGGTTTTGTAATATTCTGCATCAATGTACTCTTTCTGAAAAGCTGAGTATCTTAGAGTCTGGATTTTGTACCCACAGTAGATACCTTATTTGCCTCACTCTGACTTGGCCATGCTCAGTCCAAGCAGGAGCAGGCAAAGGAAAGCAGAGCTCTGAATCAGGGGCACCTGGGGAAAAGAGAAGTCAGGGTGACGGAGCTGGCAATGAAACTGAGCTGGACACACCATTGCCGGGGTCTGCAGGGCCCAGGTCATGATCAATAGAGGTCTTCACCTTGACTATCTATCACCTTCTCTGGAATCTTTGATGTCCTACTTACTCTTGACTTTCATCAGGCTGATGAGTCCTTCTTTAGGGTGAACCCAGGTCTTGGGACTTCAGAAAGTTTCCAGATGAACTAATGTGCAATGGGGCTGAACATGCTAGCGCAGATCTTTGTCGTAGGTGCTGAATCAGATGACCTATCAGTGACTCTGTCACTGTTTCCATCCCATCTTACCATACCACACCCCACAGCCCTGCTTGATTCCCCTGAACACAGGAATCTCCAGGTGCCTGAGCCCCCACCCAGAGGCCCTGAAACCATACTTGTGCTTAGCCTTGCACAAGACTTGAACAGACTGCTTGATGCATCTGTGCTAACACCAGGATGTTGAAAAAGCTGAGAAGTGGTGTCTTTGACAAAGGCTGAGCCCATTATTTGGTCTGCAGCACAGCCCACTAGCATCAGTGGATCTACATTTTACAACTTCAGATACCCTTGCTACTCATAGCATGCCCCATCCAGCCACTGCTAATTTTCTCAAAGTAAATACACCCAATTATTAGCATTCCCAAGAAGATATGCCCTAATTGATTTGCTCTGGCTTTGTTCATTTCAGTTCCCTAAGCCTTCCTGGTCCTCAGTTTTCCCTAATACACAATTAATTTCTGTACGTGGTACCCAAGGTCAGTTCCCTCCTCAGCATTCAAGAGATTTGGGAAAATGAGGGACTTTCTCGAAGCATAGCCCAGCAAACTTAGGAGGAGACCAGAGTAAGAAACAGAGATAGGACATTACTCCATGTCCATGTATTGTCTGCTTTCCATGGGCTGTTGGGAAGATGTTGAACACTTCTCATGGGGCACCCTCGGTTTGCTTTTTGTGTTGCAGATTATCACCATAACGTGTGTGTTTTCCTGGCTCGGGAAACAGATTCTGTGGTATTGTCAGTGGGGTGAGTTTTTGAGACATTCCTCGGCTTTTTGTGGGAAAAAGAAAATGGGAGGGGACTTCCTGGATATTTGTAGAGCAGAGACGAGTCCCTGATCCAAAAGGCATTCATAGACATGCACTCCAGGACATGGATGCAGTTCCATTCAGAGTGGCACAAGATGCCTGCTGCAGGAGAGTGCACAGATCAGTCCCGTGAGAGTGACCACTACATCACATCGCTGATATGAACTGTTACATGACCAATTAATAAATGACACTGAGGACACCCCATGATAAGAATGCATCTTACTGTAATATCAAGGTGCATCATGTACAGGTACAGATTCCATATGATGAATGTGATTGCTATTTATATCTAACCTGTGCCAAACTGACTTAGTGCTAAAAATGTTACATTAAATAACTACAAAATTACAAAAAGCCTGATCCTTTAAAACTAATGTTTAAAACTATTAAATCAAAATAATACCTGTAGGAATACACATAGTTAAAAGAAAACAATAAAAAGAAAAGAGAAAGGATGCTGTATCTAACATTCATGGTATCCCTTCTCTCCATCAAGGTGTGACTGAGATAGGAGGAGATGATATGATGGTCAAGGTTGGCTGAGGGTCATGGTCAAGATCCTGGCTGTGGCTGAGATGACTGTTTTGTAGATTCCCACTGTATCATTAAGTACTAGCCTACTCACCTACCTACCTCCCAGCCATAACTCACACTGGGACCAAGGTGAAATATGTCTCAAGACATAATTGTGATCAAGTGCAAGCAAACATTGCCCTGAATTATGCAAGGACAGTAGGGACAACTCATAGCTTTGTATGCATGGCCCCAAGAAAGCTCAAAGAGGAAGGAGAACCCACTGTAGACAGGAGAGGTGATAGAACCTGAAAAACTTCCTGTTGGAGTCTGAATGTTTGATGGTCCCCCTCTAACCTTGGTTGCTTCTAGTCTGAGTGGAGAGTGCAGCTGTATGACTCCAGCAGGTCATTGAGCACCACAAATTCTCTCTGGGCACACAGAAGAGAACAACATTTTTCCAGGATACGATGCCTCATAAATCATTACCATTATGTTTGGTTTTCTACCATTAATATCTGTGCTTCCAAAGATCGTGGGAGCATAATTAAGATCCTTGAACAGAATGCACATACAGGTGGGAGTGAGTGCCTACTTTGCCACTGCAAGGAGAATGCTCAGTGTACCTTTATGTGAGGTAAAAGCTGCTCAGTTTATCTTCTATTTGTAGAGCCTTGGGGTGTGAATGAGACCAGTTCCAGTGGAATGACTGAAGAATGATCAGGGAGAGAAGGGGCTTGGGGCTGCCAGAGGTTTGTAGCGGGTGATGGCTGGGAGGAGGTTCCTGGGGGACACGGAAAAGGGAGAGGTATTCTCTCCTCCTGTTCTCTCCTTTTTCTGCCTGAGAGCTAGTGCAGCTTGGCTTTAATTATAGCCTTCCTATGACCATCATGACAGGTAATGGGAATGTAACATGAAGAATTTCATCTTTTGACCAGAGATGGTAGAGACCAGAATGGGCCAAATATATTGCAATTGTATATTGCAAATGTACAATTCATACACAGGCAAAGTTTTGTTTGGGGCAGAGGACTTCAGCCAAATTGGAGTTTTTAATGAGGGGATGGAGCATTTTGCTGAGAGAGACTAAAGCAGCCCTCTGGCAAGAGATAGGAGGATCACAATTTAGAATTTACCTTAGGCAACTTGGTGATGTAGCCAGACATTGACTCAAACAGTAAGCATAAGACCTGCTGAAAATTTAGCTCAGAATGAAGGCTCTGAGTTCACTTTTCTGTCTAGAAAATGAATTATTCTTGTGAGACACTGGGAGATCACAGTCAACTTGAACTAGTGTCTACTGAATTTCTGTGTCTATGGCATCAATTTTAAGTACAAAACAGCCTGGCCTAGTACTGACGGGTAAAAAGGAGCTCATCTTTGCTGAGGAACTGAGGAGATTTTCTTACTGCTGGCCTCAAAATCCTGTATAAACACTTAAGTAACTTCATGGCTTGAACAAAATGCAAGGTGTAGTAGAGACACATACCGGTACCAACTGACAACAGGGCAAACTAACCCTGTGGCATAATCTTGGACAAAATACTTCTTAAATGATCAATATATCTATTTGCAGCTTAGTATAATTTGACTATAGTTTTAGTTCAAAGAGCAAAGGAGACAGAAATCATATGAGGGCAAATATGCCAAGCCTTTAATCCCATTTTATTTACTCATAAGAAGTCTGAAGGCTGAAGGGAAGAGTCCATGTTCTCAGCAAAAGCAGCTTTCAAGTCCCTGGCTGTACCACCATAGCTGTTTCTGTAATCTAGGCATTAGAGATGCTGTCAACAGCAAAGCTAGTGGGAAACTAGAAATGTGTTCCCCAGATGGATGAAAATTAGTTTTTCAAATAGGCTCAGGGCAAGGGAAGCCAGAGAGCTTATTTAGAATATTTTCCTGGGTGAGAATTTCTCAATTTTTGACAGCATTATGCCTCTGTAACTTTACCAGGGTCTCAACTTGGGTCTATTAGAATGGACCCAGCCATAAAATGTAATAGTTTATTGCAGAAAATTGTCTTGTCATTCCAGCCTTGTGCTTGACACTGTTGCACCATGGTGGTCCTTAACTGAGGACCAGCAGGAGGCTCACTTGCCATTTCTCCGTCATTGCTGCTTGTTCCTCTTCCAAAGCTAGTAGCTTTTCATTCATGGGAGTTTGTGCATGCATGGGAAGCATGGGACCTGGAGCTTACACTAAGCATGTAGAATCCTGCAGAGCCAGACTTTGGATATATAGTTCCTATTACCATAGGAAAGAATGGGGATACCCACAGTTACTTCTTAGGGTCATTCTGAAGAATTCATTGGGGAAGGTTTCCTAAGGGTTGTAGAACACTGTGTTCAGATGACCTGTAGTGACACTTTGGACATTATTCTTTGTTCCCATTTTCCTCCTCAGGTACCGGAAGCTTCCTTACTACCATTTCCCTGTCATTACCACTGACTGCCTGAATGCCACCATCCACTTCCTGAAGAGGCTGAAAAGCTATGGTGTGGACCCTTCCCGGGTTGTGGTCTGTGGAGAAAGCATTGGAGGAGGACTTGTGGCCCAGATCACTCAGGCATTAGTGGGACGCACAGATCTTCCCAAGATCCAGGCTCAAATCCTGATTTATCCAGTTGTCCAGTGTATCAATTTCCAGTTACCATCCACTCACCAGAACCATAATATTCCATTTCTCACATGGGACTTCTTGATAATGTGCATTTGTAAATATATGTCCATTGACCTCTCCTGGAAAGATGCCATACTGAAAGGTGCTTTTATACCCCCGGAGACATGGAAGAAGTACAGGAAATGGCTCAGCCCTGACAACATCCCCAAGAGTTTCAAGAAGAAATACAAGGAACCCCAGTTTCCTGGATGTTTTAATGAGACTGCCTATTTGGAAGCCAAACATCTGTTAGATGTACACCATACACCACTTCTTGCAGATGATGAGACCATTGCTCAGCTTCCCAAGGCCTTCTTTGTGAGCTGTGAGAATGACATCCTCCGTGATGACACCTTGCTCTACAAGAAGCGCTTGGAATGCCAAGGAATACTAGTGAGTTGGTACCATGTGGAAGATGGTTTTCATGGATGCATAACTCTATTTGATAAGCAAATTTTCTCTTTCCCATGCTCCCAGAAAATTTTAAATGCTGTAGTCAGTTATATAAAAGGTTTATGAAAATCACAGGGGGCTTGAATAATGTGAGGTCATTGTGCTTCTGCCACAGCTAGAGATTCTGCTGAATTCTACTTTATTTCAGAAAAAGTTGCTAATCCACTATGACCCCGTTATGGAGGATAAGATGGAGTGAAGACTCTTTCACTTTATTTTCCAGAAAATATAACTGTGTTTCATTCCAATACTGTCAGTGTTCAGGCTTACATTTAACAACATTCTCTAACAATTAAAAATAAATATCAAAAAAGGAGAAAATGCCTTTAAAATTTTCTTGAAGCTTTAAACCATAAGGTCTCTGTAGAATTAGTGCCAACAATTTTTATCAGTTTCTTTGATGAACTCATAACCACGATGACAAAGCTTTGCAAGGTCCATGTCCTTACTGGAGGAGGGGTCATGTCATCGTTCCTAGGCTCAATGTGAGTGGTCACATCCTAGCTGAGAATGTCTCTGGTTGGCCCGAGAAATGCTCCTGCAACTAAACACATCTTGGATCAAGTCATCCTTGTAGTGGACACAGAAATATATTGATGGTATTTTGGGGAAAAGATACAGAGGACGGAGAATAAAGGTGAAAAATGGAAGAGATAGTAAACTGTGGGGAGCCAGGACTCAGGTCTTTCATGGGAATCCCTAGGGCAGATCTCTGGCTTCCAAGAGGAATTTATCAGAGCCAAGGCCATGTTGGAAAGCTTTAGCTGCCAAGAGGAACTTGGAAAGTGTATTTTTTGAAGGAGGAAGTATAGCCTTTTATTCGCTTAAGTTTCTGTGTTCTTACCACTTCTACAAAGCACTCTCTCTTGGTTGGTCAATGTCAGTGTCTCTGCTCACAGGGATAAGAAAAGGAATAACCTCTGTCCATCATGCTGTAAGGCACACAATAGCTGTGTGGATTCATGTTTGCATGATGCAACTGGAAGAACCCCATGCACTATTACTGGTCAGATCCATGCAAGGAATAGAGCTGAAAGATCTCCCTTGTATGCAGCCATAGCCTTTCTGGGTACCAACACTCTCATCTGTGACTGACAGAAGAAGTGGTCCTACACTGGACCCTGGTCCTCACATTGAAACCAGTATTTCACAAGCAAGTGGGATGGATTCTCTGAGCCTCAGCAAGCATCATGAAGCATGAGTTACATTTCACCATCTTTGATAGAAGGAGCTGTCAGTTTTTAGTTTCTATCTAATAATAGCAACACAAATGTTCCAGTGTTTCACAGTATATATCTTTTGCACTACAGTTTGTAAACTGGGCTGTTTATCAGGCCTCTTATTTGGTGGTTCCATGGGGGGGAATATTAAGAGTTTGACTAGAGTTTCATCTATAGTTCAAAGGATAAGGCTCTGTATCCAAGCTGGCAAGGAAGGACACAGTCTTTTAAGACTGGAGGCTGAAGTGATCAGTGTCTTACTAGCTGTTGGCCAGAGATCTTCACCTTCAGCTTCTATAACCATCCACAGCATGGCCACATAAGTTTAAACAGAGCTTAGTTCCTTAAATCAATAACTGAGAGACAAGTGGGACCCAATGGTCAGCAGATCTAGTGTACTATAATGAGGGACACATAGTCCCATCTAAGCTGTCATCCTTGCTATATCTCAGTAGAAGAAAGTTATGGGTCTTATCCAGGGAGATCACACAGTGTGCAAACAGCACAAGTAGAGGTCACATTTGCAAAATGTGCCTCATGCAGAAGGCCGTAGCAGAAGGTGACCTGAACAGTGAAACTGACTTGTCAGCCTAGGATATAAAAGCTTTTCTCCACACATGAGCTCCATTTCCTGGTGCTGGCGATAGCTTGTTTCCCAGGAAGGGTATTCTCAACTTTTTCAGCTCTACTTCCCTTCTCCACTAATACACTTCTCTTGTGTTCTATCGAGGTTCTTCTGGGTCTTATGGGCCCTCTACACAGCCTACTCTTGACCACCTTTCTTTGTCATCAGGTCAATCAGAGTTCCATCGGGACAGGGAGGACACATGAGCAGACTATTTTCCTCTTGACACTCTCAGACCCAAAGGATGCTAGAGTGTTCTTGAGATCTTTTAACTCCATGTGCCTGGTTGAATCTCAGATCATGAACATGTACAAAATTGTGCCCACATATCAATGACCCAGGCAGTCTCATTGCCACAATGAAACATTTGGTGATTGAAAATGTCAGAATTTGGGGTTCTTTTGAAGGCTCAGCCAAAAGAGAGGTGTATTTTGATCTTATCAATTTACTGTGGAGGAAATGGATCTTCAAGCAGAGGATGATTCACCCACGCTTAGAAAATATCAGAGTATGGGAAATTAGAAGCATCCATGAGGTGGTGATGCACATCGGTCAGAAGAGTGAGATGAACTCACAGAGAATTCAAAGTACATGAACAGAAAAGTACAATGAACCAAGTCCTATGACAAACAGCTTAGTTTCAATTAAGGGAAGCAACCAGATTTGGTTTGTATTTTAGAAACATTGTTCTGGAGGAAGACAGGAAACATGGTGCAAAAGATTTAATGATCAATGAAAATGCTATGACCTCACCACATCCCTTTGAAAAATAAAAAGAAGGCAAAAGCGATTTTAAAAACATAAACAAAATCCAATGTACTAACCTTCAGCAATTGGTCCATACAGCCTGGGATCACATTTTTCATTTTGGCTCATTATCTATGTGACCTCAGTGAGCTACTTGACCCCTTGTGCCTTGGTTCCCTCATGTATAAAGTGGGTGGAAACATACTACCCACCTCACTGGTCATCATGAGGATTAAATGAATCAAAATAAAGCACTGAAAAACATTCCTCCATCAATCACATGTCCAAAGGACTGAAGACAACTAGCATGTTTAGATCCTCCTCTACTATTGCATGAGCCTCACTGCTTCTGAGAAGAACAATGCCATCTTTCTGGTCACCTGTTGATCTCACCAGGTGATAGATTACCTGGCAGTGGTGAATGTCAGTGAGGCTTGGTAGAGAAGGTGGGTTGGGGTTTTGTCTGTGGCTGCTGTAAAAAATGGTCACAAACATATTGGAATGATCAACACATCTCCACCAAATGAGTTCAGAGGTCTGGAACAGCCTGCAGCATTGAGTTGTTTCGGATGCTCTTGCTCCAATGCATATGTTGGTTTTTCCAGGTTTCAAGCACACCTCTTTTCTTGTCTTGGGACCTTCCTCCCTTGTCAAAGTCAATAACCCAGTATTTTTTCTCCTCTGACTGCTGCATGCATCCTTACTCATATGTTTTCTGACTGTGGCCTGTCGGTGTCGCTCCCGGCCGGCAGGAAGAACACGCGACAAGATCTGGCAGTGGCTAGGCTCTCTTTATTTTCCTTCTCCGCACAGTCTGCCCCGGGATTCTTCCCGGCCGAAGCCTCTACCGGTCCGCTCCCCGCGGCTCCTTTCGTGCTTCTCCCTCTGGCGGGAGAGGCACTCACTTTTATAAGGTTACAGTGGGCAATCAGTTCAAAGCGCGCGATGCGGGCTGATTGGCTAACATCAGTTGTTGCTAGGCAGACTATCTTACAGAGCGGGTTGTTTACCAAGCAGGAAGCAGGAGACAAGCGCCATCTTAGCACACTCGATGGGAGGGGTAATCTAGCTCAGGCTTTGCTCTTTCCTACAGGCCTCACGTCCGCCAAGTAAGGCGACCGGGCTCGGCCGCGGCTCCCAACAGTGGCCCTACTGAGTTGTCCTAGAAGAACACTTGTGATTGTGCTGTGTGTGCATAAATAGTTCAGACTGATCTTTCTCTCTCTTAAGATTCCTACCTTAGTCACATCTCCTTGTGTGAAGAAGCTGCCACAGTGTCTGGGGATTAGGAAGTGTACATCATCAAGGAGTTCATATCCACCTTTCACAGTTTCTAACTCTATCACCATGGCCACATTGTGTCTTCCTTCTGGAGGAAGTTCTGGGGTACTGGGCTGATGCATAGGCTCTGACTGACCTTGACAGAGCATGCATGTGATCCAGTGCATCACTGAGAGTCTCCTGTGGTGGGTGCTCTTGGATGGACTTGTCTGAAGGATACAGTGTCTCAGTTTATTCTTATTTTAACATATTTATCCACATACTTCGATCTCCTTGTCAGCATTCATCAACCCTGTGAAAACATTAGCAGTTTCTTGAATCCTTGATCAACCACAGTTGTGATCATTGTCCACTCCAGACCACATGGGCAATCAAATGTACCACTGGGAGTGCTGCTCACTAGAGGCTCCTACTTCCATGATATCCTTCAGGGTCACCCCTGAGTTGGTATAATGCTATCCCCATCACTCCCCAGTGGTGCTGGGAAGTCCTATTAATTACTATGACCATCTTCAGCAGCGGGTGTCGGGTGTCGGATCCTCTTGTGAGACCTGATATCTTCATAGTCTGTTCTTGTAAAGAGACATCTAGACAAATGATGTTAATGGAGATTAATTACACAAAGTATTTATAAACTGGGCAGCCAGTATAACCAGAATAGGTTGCAAGTGGCTCTGGGGCCATGTTGTTACTTATAAGCTGGGTTGTAAACCATTAGGTCTTAATACTATGAGGAACAAGCAAATAAATTTCATTCGTTGAGTCTCTCACCAAACATTTGAAATAAGATACAGAGGGACCATGTAGAATATAAATATAATTTGTTTACAGTAAAGCAATAGACTTGAGAGAGAGAGAGAGAGAAAGAGGAAGAGAGAGAGAGAGAGAGAGAGAGAGAGAGAGAGAGGACAGAGACAGAGAAAGAGACAGAGACAGAGACAGAAAAAGAGACAGAGACAGAGGCAGAGAGACAGAGAGAGAAATACCTTCAAGCATGAGGGAAGGCAAATCAAATGCAAAGATGGCAGTTTCACTGAATGAGGTTTCTGGTTACATTTATATGATTAAAATTTTTCTCTAAAGGGCTATCCTCTCTTTCCTCTCAAGTTGTTATCCTCTTGCAAAGAAAATATGCTGTGGTCACCTCCTAGGTTTTGTTTATTCTTAAGTGGTTGTTTCTTGTTTAGTTGTTTTGAAACATTGAGTTTTCCAACCCCTTACCAACTGAATGGACTTCATGTGGGCCCTGAATCTTCCCAAGATGCTCAGAGGATGCAATATTTTCTTGAACTAAATTTAAAACCACAAAGTCTGTGGATTTTATCTGTAACAAATTAAGGAATATAAGAAAATGAAAACTGGACTGAAATTGCATGTCATTTGCTCTTAATGCAGTGCACATTTACCTGTCCAGGCCCATTACTGATGAATTAGTTGCTCAAAAATGTGATCAG